TTTTTTTTTTAAATCCTTCAATTGTAACGTGGCGTTAAAACTAATTGGAGCATATATAATTTTTACTGAGGTGAAATAAAATAATAGAATTAATACAGATGTTGCATAATTTGTCAAAAAAATGATTGAGTAGACAGCAATTCAACAGATAATAATTAAAAGAAAATAGTAATGATCGTGAATAGAGCTTTCAAAGAAAAACTTATTATTTTTTTTTTCACAACTTATATATTCTTATTTTATTTTAGAAAAAAAATTATAACGAGCTATTTGATTGAATATTATTTTTAAAAGATATAATTATTTGTCATTCTCATGAATGAATATACCAATATTTAACGCGTTGACTAATTTATCTGAAAATCTAAATTATTATATCACACAATTATATGAAGGAGTAAAATTTGTTTGATTAAATCCATGTTTACATATTTAAATACATGCTAGGTGAGAGAAGATTCTGTATTTTGCGACAGTTAAATGACACAAGTAAAATTGGTTATAACTTCCATTTAATAAATTTGATGCTTATATACATGAATAATAAGAATCTCATACGTTTTATGGTAATTGAGGCTAAAATTTTGTGGTAGTTAAATAGAAAAATAAAATTGTCAATAAGATATACAACATCATGTATGTTTGCCGACAAAAAACTAAAAAATCGTTCAAAATATTTTATGCTTATGTTTTTGTTGTCGGCCGTCCAAAGAGTATTTTATGAGGGATTATTTTCTCAAGTTATTTTATTTTTTGTTAATCTAATTATTTGTGAATAAAAAAACAAATATTAGAGCAACTTTTTTTGGGGGGTAAAATATTAGAATAACTTTGGTGTTTCGGATCATCGAAATCAAAGAATAAGAAGAATCAAAGTTAAAATCTTTAAAAGGAAATAATGAAACACAGAGAGAAGAAATGATAGAAGAAGACCTGTATTTGTGATCGTAAGGAGATATAATGAATCTCTTGAGCTTAACTCGTCTGTTACTTCTTGCTCCAAGTGATGGTAATATTCCAGTCGAAAGACTGAAATGGCTGCTCTCTCTCGAGAGCTGTTCAAACTCATCTATTTCATGTCTCCTTACACTCCCCATGCGTTTGAATTCTGCACCGATTTTCTTTTCTCTCGAGAGCTCTCAATTGTTTATTTTCTCTTCTGGTTTCTTCTGTATAAGAGGTGCAGAGTAGGTTTTAATTTTGGGTGTATCATTTCTGACTTTGGATCCTTTGCTTTCAAGAAAATGTGTCTTCTTTTCTGTATCAAATGGGACCCATCCTCACGTATTTAGCATTAACTGTTGATTAAATAAGATATCCTTGCTCGTATCTAGTTGTATCGATTGAGAGAAATACAATAATACTGTACGAAAGAGGGAAGAGTTGACTAAACGAAGACATGATGGGAGGATTAAAAATTCCAAACATCATCACAAACCGTTACTATTTGGGTTTTCTGCAAATAAATTTTAGGGTGGTTAGATTTTGCGAATTTACCTTCAAAATTAATTAAATACAGATCAACCATTGAATTAAGAGTCAACCTGCAATATAACCCTAGGTCGTTTATTTTTATAAACACCAAAAATATAAAAGCGAGGACTCGAACATCTGACCTCAGGTTTTAAAAGCTTACAACTTTACCATTACGTCTACCTCTGTTTTATTGAAATTACAAACATTTAATTTTATTATAGTATTTAAGAGAATCGCTTTCTCTTCCCTACCTCTTTCTCTCTCGTAACTTCATCAAAGACAAGATCCCTCCTTCGATTTTCCACCTGTCGAATCTACAAATCATTGATTTAAGCTCTAATGATCTCTATGGAGAAATCCCAAAAAGCCTAAACCTTCCTTCTCTGCAAAGTCTTGACCTTTCCTCCAATGGCTTCAACGGATCGTTACCATCTCAAATCTGCTTATTAGTTTGATTTTTGACAAACAAAAAAAAAAGTAGATCGAGATGTAATCGATGAACTCAACGAATCATCTTGAACTCATCTTCACCCCAAAAAAAAAAATCCGAATACTTCTACCTTTTTGATGGTCGCCGGAGGAGATCGAGACGTAATCGATGTTGGTGTTTTTGGCGTAGATTCATCACTGAAGTAGGT